TTGGAAAATCCTATTTGTAGCAATTTCTCCCCATTTCCTTACATTTATAATTGCCATCCTTCCACCTACTACCAGTCAAGATATAATTTCTTGATTTTGTTGTTCAGTTGTCTTTTTCTTACCACTTACCTCTTAAAGTTTCTTTCTGATAATTTTGATAGATTTTAGGTAGTAACTCAAAAAATAGAAGGAGGAAGTCACTTTTTATTTGTAACCTACACTAAACTATGTCACATGCACACTGTGGATTCATAGAAATAGACTTGTCCTTTGGCCTTCTTTTGCCTTATTTTTTTCATCCTTCTTAATGTTACCAAATGAAATATTATGCAAGCAACAACTGAAAAAGAGAAGGATAGACACAGATCAAGACAACTGTGTGCTTTCTTGTTACTGCATACTCTGTGACATGTTTGAATTGTTTGTGTTGATTTCAATTTTAAAATCCAGCTAATTTAATAAAATCTTTTATCTCGTTTTCCAAACTCTCTCACCCCATTGCTGTTCTGAAGACTCTCCTTTCCAATCTTATACTGTGTTTCTCTCTCCATCTAGTTCAGTGAAGCTCTTTCCCCTGCATTCCTCCTTTCTTTCCTTTCACCTCCCGGATTCTATATCTTGTTCTAATTATTTAACCTGCTATGCATTATAAAAGTCTAGAATAGGCTAGTTAAAAAGAAAATTCCAGGGTGAAATGGGGAGACAAAACTGAATGGCAAAGATAAAATGCCTTTAGTGTGTAGGGTAGAAGGAGCATGGGGCAAGGTTGGGAGCATCTGCATATTAATTTTTCACCTATTACATAAAAATTGAGATTTAATTTTCTTTTGTTCCTGTAGACTGCTCCTCCAATTCCAAACTTTGTATTATTTAACATTCTAGAATACAAAGCTGTAACCTCCAACCTCCTAAAAAGGAATTAATTTACAGCATTTGAACAGAAATACTGCATACTTATATATAGCATATATTTGTACAAATCCTTTGTATTATTATGGGTCATGTAATAAGGCAAATTCACAACAGGAAGTGGATATACCCATTCTGTGGATATAGCTTGAAAAGTAAGCTTTTTAGAAAGCAAAAATTTTCTTTCCCATCTATGTAGCATCTTCTGGTATATGATAGATGTTGTATAATGTAAGTTATGATGAACCCACACTTCTTAATAACCTTGTTCAGGCCAAAATGAAGTATTTTTTCTTAAGTGAAAGTTGCTCAGTCGTGTCCAACTCTTTGCGACCCCATGGAGTGTTCATGGAATTCTCTAGGCCAGAATACTGGAGTGGGTAGCCTTTCCCTTCTCCAGGGGATCTTCCCAACCCAGGGATTGAACCCAGGTCTCCCGCATTGCAGGTGGATTCTTTACCAGCTGAGCCACAAGGGAAGCCATAGATTAAAAATCTTCTGAAAAATGAAGCCAATGTTTCTCTCTTAGGATGTAAACATTTTTGAATCTATGCTTGGAGAAAATGTAGTTACACACAAAGAAATGAAGCCTAATCCATTTTTTAAAACTATGGAAAATTTACAAATTTTGTTAATTCTGAAACTCTGTCAATTTGAAACTGTACCATTATATCACACACACACACATACAACTAAGATAGACATTTATCAGTTTTGGTTTTATTTTATACATTTTGAGAGGTTTCTTTGAAAATTAGAAATACATTAAAAAAAAATCATACTTCAGTCTGTATACATGGGATTGACATACATACACTATAGCTCAGTTGGCAAAGAATCCGCCTGCAATGCAGGAGACCCCAGTTCAATTCCTGAGTTGAGAAGATCCTCTGGAGAAGGGATAAGCTACCCACTCCAGTATTCTTGGGCTTTGCTTGTGGCTTAGCTGGTAAAGAATCTGCCTGCTCCAGTATTCTGGACTGGAGAATTCCATGGACTATAGTCTATGGGTTCGCAGAGTCTGACATGACTGAGCAACTTTCAGGTCACTTCCCAATGAGAACTTTATACATAGGGAGCTCTACTCAGGGCTCTGTGGTGACCTAATGCAAAGTTCATCCAAGGAAGATTGGATATACGTATATTCAGAGCTGAAACAGTTTTGCTATACAGCAAAAACGAATAGAACGCTGTAAAGCAACTATACCCCAATAAAATATATTTTTTTTAAGAAAAGGGAAGCAAAGTAAAATTGGTTGAGACAATCCTAAAATATGTTCACAACCAGACTCTGGCTCTTTAGAGTCACTGTTGCCTCAGAAGTGCTGGGGTCATGATTTTTTCAGTCACTGTCACTCATTGGACCATCCAGGGTGTTGATCACACAGCATTTCTTATCAAAGTGCTCCCATATTGTCTCTGGGATTTTCTTTGAAACAGCCAATTCTAATGTGCAAGTTTTGATGCCTGTGTTTTCTTGCTTGTACCAGAAGGTGTCAACAGAATATTTCCAGATAATAACTAGGACTCATATTCTTTCCTCAAATGAACCTTAAGTGGTTTGTTGACTGACACATTGAAGGGTTATGATTGTCCAGTTGCATCACGAGGGATAACAGCTGAGTTCAAACATGCTCAGGTAATGATGACTACTTTGCAGTTCCACCCAGCTGACAGCAATTGTGAGAGGCACTCTGATTTTATAGATGTAAAATATGAAAAACTTCATCTCAGAATTGATGAGAAACGATAGATGTTTTCTTAGATGCCAGACATCATGTTAGGTTGATTATTCCACAAGAAGGAATTGATGAACTAATCACTCATTTACCATTATGTATCATTAAATATAGCCTTATTTTAAAGTTCATTGACCATGATATTTTCTGTCACCTTACTTTTTTGTTGATTCCAGATCTTAGGGGAATTATGGGATATTGGAGTCTTCTGTGCTAAAATTTCAGGCCTGTACCTTAATGAAGAGGAGACATAAGCACTGATTAATAGACAATCCACAGGTCCATCCCCTAGAAGCTGATTCTTAACCTTGGGTTACAGGCAACTTATAGGGTGAAAGGCATGGATTTTGAAGACTAACAATCTTGGGTTCAAATCTTGACTATGTAAGCAATAACTGGAAAACCCTGACAGAGTCTTAATTTCTCTTCCTTTTCTTCATAAAGAGATATATTAATATTTATTTGCAGGATTAATTTAAACATTAGAATTATTAAAACCTGGTGGGTATTTAACAAAGGATTGCGTGCATGTGTGCTCAGTCACTCAGTCATGTCTGATTCTTTTGCGACCCTTGGACTGTAACCCACCAGGCTCCTCTGTCCATGGGATTTCTCAGGCAAGAATACTGGAGTGGGTTGCCATTTCCTTCTCCAGGAGATCTTCCCAACCCAGGGATTGAACCTGGGTCTCCGGCATTGTAGGTTTTACCGCTTTACTCTCTGAGCCACCAGGGAAGTCTAATAAAGGGTTAGCTGTTGTTATATGAGGTCATTCCTTCTCTGGGTATCAGGATGATGCTTTCAACTGTCATTTTGGTGTATTTAGTTCAGTCTGTTTGTTAACTTTTACTTCAAGTGATGTTTGACTTGTGATTTCATGAAGACTAAAACTTATTTAAACAGACTGGGGTAAACCATGTAAAGTTTTGAAAATGACTTATACCCAAACATACACATATGCAGGAACTTCAAATGGTGCCATGGATCAATTATGACGTAGTTTTGGCACACGGACTTCCAGTTTCTTTTCATCAGACTGGGGTGGCTGAACCCTTAGCCAAGAATGACAATGGCTGTATTTCATATCTGGCCTTGCCATGAACCCCCTTCCCTTGTATCTGACTCAGTAGCATCTTCTGCTCCACTCTAGTGACTCTGCATGGATACCTGTCAAACTCTTTGATGGAGGGGCCATCATTTTCTTCTATCATTGGTTATGTACTAGTGGCTGAAGGTTTTCATTTTCTGGTGTTCCAAGCATGGTTCTTGAACTTGCTATGACTTATCACCCTTGTTTCTATTGTGCTAATGCTTCTAGCTCAATCCATTATTGCATAGATTCTTTTATGCATGCATGGTCTATCAACTTCTCCTTAAAATGAATGCTGCAAACTGCCTTCAGCCACTCAGTGATAGTGGTTCTTTATAAGACTATCTATTTTTGTGATTTTTTCACAGATATTTTTTTCTTCTATGTTTGCTTCTTTCTTCCCACTCTTAGAAGTTGCCATTGGCAGTTACAGAGAGGGTTTAAAAAATCAGCTTGTCTCTTTGGGTTTTCTCTTCAAGTTCACTTGCACTTGAATTACATTTATAGAGAGGCCCTCTTTGAATAATGTCACATTGCTGAAATAGTTGTCTCCACACATCCCAGGGGAAAGAATAGTGCCCATTAACTATTAATTCAATTACCTCTAATCATGAAACAAGATTTCATAGTGAAAGGAGAATGGGGATTGATTTTATATAACCTGGGTTTGAGTTTTTACTTTGCCACTTGCTAAGGGTGTATCCTTGGATGTTTCACATATTCAGACGTATCTCTGAATCTCAATCTTCTCATTTATAAAATGGAGATCATCTTATTTTGCCAGGATAATGTGAATACTAAATAAGATGATATCTGTAAAGTGTTTGACACTATAAAGTCCTCAATAAAAATTGTTATTATGAAGTTTGCCAGCATCTTGTTTGATGAACAGCTTGGCACTGAGACTTCCCCTTTGGAAGTTATTTCACAGCTCTAGGAGGGATGAGCTTCTGGATTTTTCCTTGACTGGTGGTCTACAGAAGATTACTTTTAATACTATGAGTGATGCAACCATAGTACATATATTTTTTTAAAAAAGTAAAATCCTACTAAATCTCAATAATTCACTTCTCTGTGTTTGTAATTAAAAAAAAGATTAGTCAGGGGGTACTTCTAAAATATTGGTCAGAATCTTTTATTTAAGTTCCATGAAGACTAGCCTTTTAAACCTGGGCTAGACCACAAGTGTCAGATTCCTTTGCATCACTAAAGCTAGCTCTTCTGATTAAAAGAGACTTAATTTTCATTGCCTCTGTTTAAAGCACAGCATGCTGCCAACGCGGGATTCCTTTACAATCCACTTGAACTTGAGGTCTCCACCCTGAAGAGAGTGTTCACTCATGGAGCTGTGAAAAAAGATGAACAGAAATAGGTGAATATTTACATTTTCTCTTACTTTCTCCTTATAAAGATGGAAGAAATATGTCAGCAAAAAAAAAAAAAAAAAAAAAGATCTTCCTTTGAAGGATAAAACATTACATTAGATACATGAAAATGTAGGTACTTTATTTAGGAATTCACATTATACTCCAGTGCCTGCCAAACATTACTCAAGCAGTTGTTTATTCTGTCAAGAATTCATAACATTGACCCTCCTCATCACAACACATAAAGATCATGGCAAAAACAGAGTTTATGGTACCAGGAGATTCACTTTTTAGAACTAATTTTGCTGATACATAATTGCTGGTATAAATGTTGGTGCTTTCTTAACTAAAGTTGTGATAACGAGTGTTGCTATAATGAAAACAAATGAGATTAATGATCTTTTCCAGGTTTTTATCTGGCAGTCACTGTGAGATTGAAATTCCTTTTTCTTTGCCTCAAACAGGGTTATTTTTTTCCCCCAGTCTAAATAAAGTAATACAGAATTTACCTGCTTGGTATTTTAGAATAACTCAAGTGGTCTCATAAGCACCATGGTATATATTCATGTTTAGAAGAACTATGCAAATATAAAGTAATTTTAACAAAAAGGTTTTGAAAATTCAACGGAATTAAAAGTATAAATTTTATAAAAGGAGCATTATTTAATGTAAATAATAAATTGTTTTAAAAAAACCCTTATTTCTTTCTCTAAATATACTATACATTACAGCCAGAATAATTCAGAGTTTTAATGTCAAAGCATTGTTTTTTTTTAGAAATGTATCTTGACTGACAAGTTTTTTTCTTTTTGTAGTAACATAGAGGATATAGATCATAAGACAGTGTGCAGCTCATGTCACAGTTTAATTAAATAATAGCACTTTGTATATTATACTGTTGCTTATTTTCAGTAATTCATGTATTACTGCAGCTAATTCCAGTGTTAGATATTGGCTTCCAACTAAGCAGTACAATCTGTCTACCTAAAAGATTTATTTAACTAGCATTTAAATCAAATAATAAAGATATTATAACGGAGGGATTTTTCTCCTGTGCTAAGAAATGATACAGTCCCTTGGTTTCTTTCAAAAACATATCATGAGATTACACATATTTTCATTACTGTATTCAAGAATATTGTTGAGTAAATATTTGCATTAATTTGTTGCTGTTTTAGGATTTCCTGGAGTGTACATAGTCTCACAAGGTAAATAATTAAATGATCTGCCTTCTTGGGTAGCACAAAGCCGTTCTTGATATAGGTTTGATTATTTCACTTGTCTCTTTGATAATCCATAACTGTCTTCTGTAATTATTTTCATTATCCAACCAAGCAAAGATAAAAGATGGAACACGCTTCTTTTCCTTACTCCCAAGGAAACTCCATTATCCTTGAAAGGTCACGTGACTGCAGAAAGCCCAATCTTGGTGAAAGAAGCAATCCACAAGGACAAGCTGAGTGTGAGTTGAAAAATGAAGTTGTTACCAGACAGCAAACTGTGGTCCACACTTCTTATGAATATTTGAATGAGTAACTAAAAACAGCTCAGTAAACTCTAAGCAACTGTGACAGCTGAAACTGCCTTGAAACCAGGAGTCCTCCAGGACCGTGATGAAAATATCACCAGTTACCTTATGCCTCATCCTGCCAGGGGTCTGCAGAGGGACAGTATCAGATCTATTTTACTCAAATAGAAGTTATAAAAAATATCTGATTTATCTTTGCACTTTCAGAAACCAAACAGTTTAAAAATCTCTTGAGTTATTTTGAATTCATTAAAATGCAATAATTTTTTAAAAAAATGCAATTATTTCTAACAATTTTTTCAAGGCAAGAGAATGGCCATGTTTTTGCAGACCCTGAAATATTGATGTTGCTGTTGTTTTGACTCGTAGAAAATTGGCCCTACTCAATCTTTCATGAATATTTTTTAGCTTTTTCCATGTGGGAAGAAAGACAATGAGGACAGTCCCTAAAGCCAGAGTTCTTGGAATAATTCCTTCAAAACTCTAATAAAAAGAGTAATTTGGTACCAGGCCTGACTTATCTATGCCCACTTAGATCATTGTTTTGCTTTCAAAAAAGTGGGATAAATAGCTGCTTTTGTTGAAGTAGAAGATTCAGAACCGATTTGTCACACAGAAGACTTCTAGAAAATATTTTTAGAGGATACATTTCTAAAGAAAACTAAAAATTTATTCATTTTCCCTTGACCTCCTTGAGTAGGTAGAACAAAGAGGACTACTTCAATAATCATATTGAATTTACTGAGAAATATAGTAGTCTGTAATTTTTAAGTTGGTGTCTTTAGCTGGAAGACGAGAGTCAGTTATTTAGTTCCTCTAAGTGTGTATAGTAAATTCTACTAAATCCTACTAAATTCACTTAGTTTTGTGCATTTTGATAAATAGTGTAAATAAAACAGAACCCTCTTATAGTCCATAACTTCCTAGCAAAGAAAGAAGCTATGTACTATGTGGATCTAATGTTGAAATTGCTGCCTTTCCAATCTAATAACTGTGTGTGCACTGAGTCACTTCAGTTGTGTGCAACTCTTTGTGACGCTATGGACTGTAGCCTGCCAGGCTCCCATGTCCATTGTATTCTCCAGGCAAGAATACTGGAGTGGGTTGCCATTTCCTTTTCCAGAGGATCTTCTCAACCCAGGGAAGGAACCCAGGTCTGCGTTGCAGGAGGATTCTTTACTGACTGAGACACCAGGGAAATCCTAACCAGTATTTGTACGCTGTGTATGCTGTGTGAGGTCGCTTCCCTCATGACTGACTGCGAGACCCTGTGGACTGTAGCCGCCAGGCTCCTCTGTCCATGGGATTCTCCAGGCAAGAATACTGGAGTGGGTTGCCATTTCCTTCTCCAGAGGATCTTCTCAACCCAGGGAAGGAACCCAGGTCTGCGTTGCAGGAGGATTCTTTACTGACTGAGACACCAGGGAAATCCTAACCAGTATTTGTACGCTGTGTGAGGTCGCTTTCCTCATGACTGACTGCGAGACCCTGTGGACTGTAGCCCGCCAGGCTCCTCTGTCCATGGGATTCTCCAGGCAAGAAGACTGGAGTGGGTTGCTGTGCCCTCCTCCAGGGGATCTTCCCGACCCAGGGATCGAACCTGCCTCTCTTATGTCTCCGGCACTGTCAGTCATGTTCCTTATTACTAGCGTCACCTGGGAAGCTCCTGAACTGAGGAGGAATCTCAATGAGGATGCCATTCATTGAGTGGTTTATTTATAAAACCTCCATGAAACATGAAGTTTCAGTCAGAAAGCCTCTTCAGAAAGTTTCAGAAGATAGTGGGCAATGCCTTAATTCCTGAGACGTTTGAGAGTCTTTCCAACAACAGTGGGGACCACAGTGACTGCTCAAGAGGTGACTGCTGGGACCTCTCTTCTCATTGTTGGAGCTGAGAGCCCTGTTTCCTTCTCAAGTTTTAACTTATAATTTCAACTCCTTGGAATATCTCTCTGAACAATGGCCGCCAGACCATGGCTGGTTGCTACCTCCTTTCTCTTTAGTCGTGTACGAATTTAACTTTGGTTTGAGGTATTGCCAGATTTTCAGTTTTGCAGTAAAAATACCAAGAGACATACAAAGTGCCATTCTGGTTTGTGCTCATACAGTGAAGAGGAGAGCCTTTGAAAAGAAAGGAAGTGGACAGAAGGAATAGTGGCAACACCCACACTAGAAACCCAGTCCCCTGAGGTGAATAGAATCAGAGTTACTATGAAGCAACAGTAGGAGATAGAGACCCATTTTGATATCAGAGTTGTCAGACCTAAAGCCATCTGCAAAATCTCCCTAAACCCAATGGAATGGCAGGAAGGATGCTGAATCAGAGGTCAGAGGTACTGCTAGCTATGTGGCCTTCAGAAGGTCACTCGTGGGCTCTGGGCTCTCAGCGGTGCAGTGTAGTGAGACTGGGTTGACAATTGCAAAGGCAGTTCTGGGAACAGACGAGCATCGCTTTTCGAGTCAGAAGATCTGGGTTCGCTTTCCCAGTTGATCACTTACCAGACGTGTGAGCTTCCTAAACCATGTGAACTTCCATTGAGCAGAAGTTCCTTTGAGCTTCTTACCCCTCTGCAGGGTAAGAACAAAAGAGGTGATGGACATGGACAATCTACAATGCAGGTGCTCTGATAAACGTTAGTTCCCTCCCTCCCTTTCTTTAAAGTCTTTCTTCCAGTTTTAAATTCTGCCAAGTAGTCATCAAGTCAGATCAAGTTTCTCCTGCAGTATATTTGAATAGAAGTGGGATTAGGTTTGTAATTGCTGCTGTCTCTGGGGTGTATGTTACACATGGGACATGTGAAAGATTTAAAATTTAGTGTTAGAGATGTATGGGAAATATGAAGAGGAGTAGATGGTGAAGAAAAACAGGGTCAGTTTGTATCTCCAGATAGGATATCTTTAATACTTCCAACTCTTTTGTTTTATGGTTTGTTATGTAAGCCTTTCATATCAAGTGTAATATTTTAATTTCAAAGGTCATATCTGGATCAGTTTAAAAATGAAAGTCATCTCCAAAGAGTTATATAATTAGGCAATGAATATTCATTGACATGTACTCGTTTTTCATGCATTATTGTTGGTTTTCAAGATAAATGAAACAAACAAACAAAATCCTATAATCAAGTGGTCTTAAAAGTGACCTTGGAAGACAAGAGACTAGACAAGAGACAAGATTGCACTCCACCAGGAGTGCAATCAGCATCTAGCAAAAGTAGATGCTTTGAAATTTTACTTGAATGTATGGGAAAAAATTGCCCCCTGAAAAGTCATCTCTATTTTAAGTCCTGTTAAAATGATTCTCAAGTATAAGACTCAGAAATCCTACTTTTAGATACTTCACCTGAAGAAATACCATCGTAGTAAAAGTAGTGAGGTTTGTATGTTTATAGCAGCTTTTTCTCTAAGAATGAGTAATTGGAAATGACCCACTTTTCTCTCCATAGGAAAATAAATAGCAGTATAGACATATTATGAAATATAATATTACCATTAAAAACAAAGCATATCTATCTCTGCTGCTATGGAAAGTTGTCTATGACTTATTGTTAGATGAAAAAAGCTAATTATTGAGCAATACGCTAGTGTGTAACCATTTTGAGAAAAAAAGTGTATTTTTTCATGCATATATATATGTATGGATGTATCATACAAATATGTGCGTTAAGCTAACCAAAATCTATTTGAAGTGATATGTGTGTAGCTATTTACAGAGACCTAGGCCTTTCCTGGTAACTCAGTTGGTAAAGAATCTGCCTGCAATGCAGGAGACCCTGGTTCGATTCCTGGGTCGGGAAGATCCACTGGAGAAGGGATAAGCTTCCCACTCAAGTATTCTTGGGCTTCCCTTGTGGCTCAGCTGGTAAAGAATCCACATGCAATATGGGAGACCTGGGTTCGATCCCTGGGTTGGGAAGATCCCCTGGGAAAGGGAATGGGTACCCGCTCAAGTATTCTGGCCTGGAGAATTTTGAAACAGTCCATGGGGTCACAAAGAGTCAGACACGACTGAGCAACTTTCAGTTTCACTCCTGGAGTTAGATATTTTAACTGTAATTCTGTTGTGGTTTAACCTGTTATTTCAAATTTAATATGCTTGCAATTAAAAAAATAAAACTGCAATGTGAGTCTAAGGTTTGAAATGACTTGGAAAATTGAAACATTCTTTCTGATTCTTTATTTTTCCCCTAGCAATTTGACACTGATATGCTCTAAAAGGGCTTCCCAGGTGGTGCTAGTGGTAAAGAACACACCTGCCAGGGCAGGAGACATAAGAGACACGGGTTTGGTCCTTGGGTGGGAAAGATCCCCTGGAGGAGGGCACGGCAACCCATTCCAGTACTCTTGCCTGGAGAATCCCATGGACAGAGAAGTCTGGGGGCTGCAGTCCATAGAGTAACAAAGAGTTGGACACGACGGAAACGACTTAGCACACATACACATGCTTTAAAAACCTAAGGTCTGGACTTCCCTGGTGGTCAGTGGCTAAGACTCCAAGCTCCCAATGCAGGGGGTCTGGGTTCAATCCCTGGTCAGGGAACTAGATTCCACATGCTACAACTAAAGATCCTGAATGCTGCAACCAAATTAATAAATAAAATAAATGTGTTAAAAAAAAAAAACACCTAAGGTCCATACGTATAAAGAATTTGTTCTTTGTGTTATCTCTTATGTTTTTCTGCCCTGAGTCTAATTTTGACTCATCCACTAGTTATCTGTGTAACTCAGAAAATTTGTTTCACCCCCAGCATCCTCATCTATAAAATAAAAGGGATAGAAATAAACCAAAAAGTTGGGCAGAGAGATTTCCTTCCAGTTCTGAGATATTCGGCTTCTGTTGAAACTAAATACATTTCATGGTCCTAGGCAGAGTAATGCTTTCTTTTCCCCACAGGCTTCGTCTTTTACAGTAAACCCACAACTTTATTGAGGAAATGGCTAGCAATTCATAAAGCTTTATTTGGTCCTAATTTTTTGTTCTGAACATCCTGAATGTCGTACTGTGGGCCAGAGAGGTCTTCAGAGCTTCACAGATCTTTTCATTAGGAAGGTTCTGAGGTCTGACCTTCCATTTAGGAAATGGTGGCCAAGTGCATCCCCAAATTCACAGTGACAAGTACTGAGTACCCTCTCTGCTCTTCCGCGGGAGGCTTGCATTTGAACCTTGCTGTCCCTGCCCCACCCCACAGTGAGGGCCGGGATGTGGTTGGCAAAATTTGTGGGATATTGTGTCATAAACCCTGTTCATTTTATAGTTCAACTGGTCCATAGAA